TTTTCTGTGACTGGAATTACAAAACTAGCGGATGAAGGAAAAGTGATAGATGCCATGAGTCTGAGCCCAACTGTGTCTGACCCTTCACAGGTGCACAGGAGGGAGAGAGGAAGCAAACATCCTTCCCTACACCTTCTGGACTCAGGCTGGACACTATGGCAGTTCTTATACTCTTCTGGCCTCTGGGACTTTCCAGAGGGGCTGTCCCTGCATCCTCACTCGGCACACCAGCTAGTGGAACCGGACCCTTAGCCATGCAGCAGCGTGTGTTTTGCTCTCTCTGAGGATGGCAGAGTGGACAGGCGCCACCTGAGCTCTGAGAAGCAATGTGCTACAGGTAAATATTATTATGCTGAGGACAGCGTGAAGACCTGTTGAAGTTGGTGGTCATAACAGCCGTCCTTCATTCAGGATAAATATAAAAAGCAATTAAGCTCCTTTATGGAATAGAAAGCTGCTAGATCGAAGACACCACCCAAAACACAGGCCACATGCAAGCATAGGCGCTGACTCCATGGGTGCTGCAGGGCTGCAGCACCCACGGGGAAAAATTAGCGAGTGCTCCGCACCCACCGGCAGCCAAGCTCCCCTCGCCCCCACTCCCTCTTCACCTCCTCCTCCCCCGAGCATGCCGCATCCCCACTTCTCCCCTTCCCAGTGCTACCCGCCTGCCGCCTAACAGCTGTTTGGCGGCACTTAGGACTTTACGGGAGGGAGGGGGAGGAGTGGGGACATGGCGCACTCAGGGGAGAAGGCCGTAAAGAGGCAGGGCAGGGGCGGGGACTTGGGAGAAGGGGGTGGAATTGGGGCGGGGCGAGGGTGGTACAGGGGCGGGAAGGGGCGGGAGGGGATCGAGCACCCACGGGGCAGAGGGGAAGCTGGCACCTATGCACGCAAGGCTGCAGCAAGAGTTGTAAGCAGGGTCTGAATGAGCTCTCCCCGACACATAATGATGAGCTGGGGGAAAAGACTTCTGCAGACCATGTTTGCATAGAAATGCTGACTCTGCTAGGTGCACAGCAGAGGAAACTGCTCTGCCAAAATGATCAGTTTTGGCTGGGGGTGGGTTACAAATCACTCTAGTATTTGAATGCAGGGGTAATGAAATGTTATCATCCTGACCACACGAGTAAAGGGCAGCAGAGAGGGGATCACCCTCAACTGAACCTCACGCGCTAAGCACGGGGTAGGGATGCCAAAATCCCAGTGAAAGAGGATTTGCCTAAAGAGCCCAAGGCACCATTTGAACCTCCTCCTCTCCACTGTTTAAAGACAGGACTGATTAGACTCAGTTGAGAGTCCTTGTTTTGTTCAGTAATCACTAGAGCTGAAATCACCGATAACCAGGTCTCGGTGCTGAGCCTAAGAGCTGGTGTGGGACAACGTTGCAGTGTAACAGACTTCCCAGGCTGCAGTGAGGGTCCCCACTACCCGCTGAAATCACTGAGAGCTGCGTTAAGTGTTGGAACCTCAGAATGTGCCATCAGAGTGTACAACAGTGGCCAGCAGCGCCAGAGTGAATGGTGGCAACTGTGAGTCAGTTGCGAGGCTGCAGCAGCAGCTGAGGCATTGCTTGATGCCTCCCCCCAACTCTGGTATGGGAAGTGAACTCATGTGAATCCACCTCTGAACTCTTGGCCTTCGCTGACCAAGGACAGCAAGTGTATGTGGGGTGCAGTGGAGGGAGAAGGCAATGGCAGGTTCAAGAAACATTTGTTGGACTTCCATTTCACTCTGCAAGGTGAGAAATTGAGGCAAAGAACACTGCCCAACATACTATGGGGTGGGGGTATGCTCATAGTCACATGCTTTCAAATCATGTTTGTGGTATTTTTCCAAATTCATGTCAAGTTCCTTTCCCCTTTTTATTACAAGTTTTCTTTTGTTATACACAGACTCAGCACTTGAGAAAGGGGAAGTATTGCTTCTTAGAGGTGCCCAGAGATGGTGTTAAGTCTTCTCAGATTAGTGGGTGGGGGCTCAAGCCGGTTCTGTTTTGTATCATTAGGAGGAACCGGTAGATATTGAACCCAGCCCTCATAGCTGCTGTTTCCACCTGGCAGAAGGGTTACAGAGTTGAGCCATGCAGCTCAAGGGGTTTCATTGGGGGCTGAACACAAATGCAGGAGTTTTGTGTATTATCTGATTCTAAATATAGAGAGAGAGAGAGAGAGAGAGAACAGATGCAGACAGAAAAGGCAGCAGGCGAGGTCCAGAGAAGCACCAGTAACATGACCCTAATAAAAACCTAAGAGAAAGTGCTTTTGAGCAGAGTCCTGGCTAACAAGAGGCTTGAAATTGTGAGAAAAAAACGGCCTCCTGTTGTTTGATTTCTACTATGTTCAGGGAAACAAGACTTTATACGTTATTGGTAAATAAACAGGACTGCATCGAAGAAATATATGACTCCATCATCAATTTTTCCTCCTAACAGAAACAACCTGCAAAACCCTGAATACTGGCTAACTGCTTGGATCAAAAGCGGTAAATTTATATATATAGAGAGAGAGAGAGAGAGGATTAAGGGGAGACATGAGATCCATCTTTAAATTAGAAGTGTGCTGAGGAGGCAATATTTGAATTCTGATCAGAATCTCGATTAATTTTCAGCTACTTTAGATTTCAGGTTTCAGACTGAACAAGGACTGGGGCTTTGGTTTGATGGTGCTGAAATCTGGCAGGTAGAAGTCTCAACCTTCAGCCCAAAATGGAAGAAACTTCATGTAGCCCTTCTTTCTTTCACAAGTTGCAGATTGTATATGTTATGTAGATTTTTAGCTGTCCATTAAAAGAGTGCATTTTAAGAGTATTTTATAGTAGAAAGAAAGGAAATTATTTGGAGAGCCTTAACACCTTTAATGGCACCATGCTGGGAACACAGGGAGCCATCAGCATGAATGTAAACGTAGTGCATATTCATTACAGAGGTAACCGCTGCCAGCATGCTTTCACTATAGTGGGTCTGTGGTCTCTAAAATGGTGCAAAAGTAATTCCTGAAGGACAGCATCCTCATGGGGGAGCGGTGCTCTTTCGCAGGTCTGCTGAGATCCTATTGTATGCATCCCCTGATTCTGGGTGGCAAGTAGAACTGTTGTATCTCCTCTGTGGCCTTTCCTTCCTGATGAAAAGCATGGCATAATCCATCAGCTAATGGACTAGAAATGGAAGGCTTGTGAGATTAAACAGTTTTGTAACCCAGCCTTTTCTTTACAAATTCTACTTTGTTTAAATTTTTTATTTTTTACAGTTTATTATTAAAAGTAATACAGGTATTACTCAGTTCAAAGTGCAAACTGTCTTACAAAGCTATCTGTATAACTCAGAACAATAAATGCTTTTATTAAAGGAAAAGTTTCAGGTTTTTTAATTGACTTATTACATAAACTACAGAACAACTCATTTAGCATCCAAAGGTAACTCAGGAACTTAAACTTTGGCACTTTCTAACTGAGGAGTGCCTGACTTTGCCACCTTAATGTTCTTTTAACATAGGTTTTTAGGATGTAATTATTGCAGAAATTCAATATAAACATTCAAAACATAAAATACTTGGAGTTTGTACTATGTATATACTAACTGGTCAGTGAATCCTTGGAGCACTGTGTAATCAGTATTGAAATTGTTCTTTGAGGCAAAGTGACCATGGGTGTAGTCCTGAATGGGCCACTACTGGAATGCCCCCGCTAGCGTGACCTCACGTGCACACTGTGTGTGGAGGACTCCATTTTGCTGTACAAAACGTCATCCTCCATGCAGTGTAACCTTGCATGTACGGTGCGTGTGCGGTCATGCTGTGCATTGGGAAAAATGCCAGTATGCCATTCCAATATGAACTGGTCCCACTACAGCACAGGGGATGACACCTCTGTATACATAACCACATAAGCTGGAGGTACTGTGCAATTACACCACTAACCAGTGGCATCAGATCCAGTTGCCAGCGAACATACTATACCACAAATTATATCAGTATTGCCTCTTATAGACAGTGGCTAATGTGATCTTGTGGAACAGGCTTTAAATCAGTGGTGGGCAACCTGCGGCCACTGGGAGCTGCAGGCGGCCGAGCCTGCGGACAGTCAATGTAAACAAACTGTTTCACGGCCCACCAGTGGATTACTCCGACGGGTCGCAGGTTGCCCACCACTGCTTTAAATCTAACAAAAGTACAAAAGGGAACAATATGTTCCCCCACTTCAGCCTTGCAGATGCAGGCCAGAGGAGTCATGCCTGCACCCCTGTTGTTTCCCTCAAGTGGCCATGTTCACCGCTGCTAGCACACCACTCCTGGGCTTGGAGTCTCCCACCTCCCAGGTAGATGTCTTAACCACTGGACTACTGAGTCATTCTCACTCTCTCTCTCTCTCTCCCTGGCCCAAAGGCTGTTCTGCTGTGAATAAATACTTAATACTCATTAGGCCAGAGAGGTAATGACAATGACTCTATAGCCAGGTGGTTAGGACACCCACCTGGGAAGTGAGAGACCTAGGAGCCAGTCCCTCTGCTCCAATAATTCTTTCATTATATATCCACAATGGAATAGCTTCAATAGGAGAGACTGAGGCAGCCCCATGTTAGAATATCCTATAGCTCAGTGATTAGAGCACTTTGCTGAGAGAAATGGGAGACCCCTGTTTAAATCCTTTCTGCCCATCAGGCAGAGAGGGGGATTGAATCTGAGTCTCCCAGATCCCAGGTTAGTGCTCTAACCACCAAACTAAATGTTGTAAGGTAAGTGGTAGCACCACTGCCAGTTGTTTTATGTGGATCCAGGCAGCTGCCTAACTCATTTTCACAAGAAATGCATTAGGCTCCTAAACTGCCTAACTCCAGGGTATTTGAAAGAGGATATAACAATGTTGAGATTCATGGAGCTCAGAGGAAGGTGCAACGGTGTTCAAGAACTGTCCAAAAAGTCTAACAGAAACAGAAAGTAACCAATGAGTATATTTATCATGCAGCTAATTTTTACTAGAACAAAAAGAAGCACTTAACTTACTTGATTGAGACTGTGAACTCTCACCATAGTTTCTAATGGTGCTACCTAGAATACAAAAGAATGAAAAGTGGTGAATGGTAATACCATAAAGTGAAAGTATTAAAAACTATCAAACATCCAGTACCAACTGGGGACAGGTAGATGTGCCAGGGTGGGGAATCACGGGGGGGCAATCTTCCCCTGAGACCATGGACGGCAGGTAGCATAGGCAGGGGAAGGCTGTGCCTCCTCAAACAGCCTGGCGTAGCCCCACCCACGCTCCGCCCCCAGTCCCTCTCCTGCCTGCTTCCAGTTCCCTTCCCGCTCTTCTGTGGCTGAGAGGCTGGGGCAGACAGGCTGGGGCCAGTGCGCACAAGGCCCAGGGCTGGGGGCACTGGAGCTAGGGCCATGCCGTGTTGCCTGTCCGTCTGCCAGGCACTGCGACCGCGTCGCCCGCCCAGAGCTCCAGGGCTGGGGACCCTCTGGGCTGGGAATGGGGGCACTTCGGCCACACCACCCACCTGGCACACTAGGGTTGGGGGCGCTCCGGCCATGTTGCTTGTCTGGCACTCCGGGGCTGGGGGAGGTCCGGGGCTGGGGGCGCTCCAGCCATGCCACATGCCCACCCAGTGCTGGAGCTGGGGGCACTCCGGCCACGCCACCCATCCAGTGAGGGGGCTGGTGGCCACAGGGGGGGGATATGCTCCAGGCTCCAGTAGAGGAGGAGGGGCCGGAGGGAGGGGCGGGGCATCAGGCAGAGAGGGAGGGACCAGAGGCTAGCCTCCCCCAACAGCGCATTCACCTGCTGCCCATGCCTGAGACCCTGGAGGAGCCAGGAATCTGCCACAAGGTAACTGTGGTCATTTGTCCTAGAGTATCCTCAATGGCCCCAGCACACATCTCTACAGAGGGGAAAGACAGGAGGATCCATGTAGCAATGGATATTCTGTCCATGCCTCTCCATCCCATCCAGACCTACATCTGACATGCTCATGTGGAGAAACCCCCAAAGAACCTAGCTCTGCACTGTGTAGAGGGCATATGAACCCCTTCCATGGCCATCTTTCCAGAACCACACCAGTTCCTCTCCCCAGGGGCATGATTTTCTCCTGCATCTGAAGTGAAAATCTAATCAGTGAAGGTTCACTTATCTAACCAAAATAGTTGCATTTTGCTTCTAAGCTTGAGGTTTGCCTGGGAAAACTAAGAAATCCAAAGTCAAAGGAAAAGCTTGCAGCTCTTTTAAAAAGCTTTGCTGTGCTCATTTCCACCAACTCTTCCACTGTAAACTGAAGGATACACAAATATCGGAAGTGCTGAGTGAAGAAGCATAATCTAGAACGGGGTGGGCAAACTTTTTGGGCCGAGGGCCACATCTGGATGGGGAAATTGTATGCAGGGTCATGAATGTAGGGCTGGGGCAGGGAGCTGGGATGTGGGAGGGAGTGTGGGGTGCAGCGGGGGCTCAGGGCAGGGACTTGGGGTGCAGGAGGGGTGCAGGGTGCAGCGGGGGCTCAGGGTGGGGGTTGGGGTTCAGGAGAGGGTGTGGAGTGCCGGAGGGGGCTCATAGAATCACAGAATATCAGGGTTGGAAGGGACCTCAGGAGGTCATCTAGTCCAACCCTCTGCTCAAAGCAGGACCAATTCCCAACTAAATCATCCCAGCCAGGGCTTTGTCAAGCCGGGCCTTAAAAACCTCCAAGGAAGGAGATTCCACCACCTCCCTAGGTAATGCATTCCAGTGCTTCACCACCCTCCGAGTGAAATAGTGTTTCCTAATATCCAACCTAGACCTCCCCCACTGCAACTTGAGACCATTGCTCCTTGTTCTGTCATCTGCCACCACTGAGAACAGCCGAGCTCCATCCTCTTTGGAACCCCCCTTCAGGTAGTTGAAAGCAGCTATCAAATCCCCCCTCATTCTTCTCTTCTGGAGACTAAACAATCCCAGTTCCCTCAGCCTCTCCTCATAAGTCATGTGCTCCAGACCCCTAATCATTTTTGTTGCCCTCCGCTGGACTCTTTCCAATTTTTCCACATCCTTCTTGTAGTGTGGGGCCCAAAACTGGACACAGTACTCCAGATGAGGCCTCACCAATGTCAAATAAAAGGAAACGATCACGTTCCTCGATCTGCTAGCAATGCCCCTACTTATACAGCCCAAAATGCCGTTAGCCTTCTTGGCAACAAGGGGACACTGTAGACTCATATCCAGCTTCTCGTCCACTGTGACCCCTAGGTCCTTTTCTGCAGAACTGCTACCTAGCCATTCGGTCCCTAGTCTGTAGCAGTGCATAGGATTCTTCCGTCCTAAGTGCAGGACTCTGCACTTGTCCTTGTTGAACCTCATCAGGTTTTTTTTTGGCCCAATCCTCTAATTTGTCTAGGTCCCTCTGTATCCGATCCCTACCCTCCAGCGTATCTACCACGCCTCCCAGTTTAGTGTCATCTGCAAACTTGCTGAGAGTGCAGTCCACACCATCCTCCAGATCATTAATAAAGATATTAAACAAAACCGGCCCCAGGACCGACCCTTGGGGCACTCCGCTTGAAACTGGCTGCCAACTAGACGTGGAGCCATTGATCACTACCCATTGAGCCCGACGATCTAGCCAGCTTTCTATCCACCTTACAGTCCATTCATCCAGCCCATACTTCTTTAACTTGGCGGCAAGAATACTGTGGGAGACCGTATCAAAAGCTTTGCTAAAGTCAAGGAATAACACATCCACTGCTTTCCCCTCATCCACAGAGCCAATTATCTCATCATAGAAGGCAATTAGGTTAGTCAGGCACGACTTCCTCTTGGTGAATCCATGCTGACTGTTCCTGATCACTTTCCTCTCCTCTAAGTGTTTCATAATTGATTCCTTGAGGACCTGCTCCATGATTTTTCCAGGGACTGAGGTGAGGCTGACTGGCCTGTAGTTCCCCGGATCCTCCTTCCCTTTTCTAAAGATGGACACTACATTAGCCTTTTTCCAGTCATCCGGGACCTCCCCCGATCGCCATGTGTTTTAAAAAATAATGGCCAATGGCTCTGCAATCTCATCCACCAACTCCTTTAGCACCCTCGGATGCAGCGTATCCGGCCCCATGGACTTGTGCACGTCCAGTTTTTCTAAATAGTCCCGAACCACTTCTTTCAAGGCAGGGGGCTGAAGGCAGCGGGTTAGGGGGCTCAGGGCAGGGGGTTGGGGTGTGGGGTGCAGGAGGGGTTCAGGGTGTGGGCTCTGGCCCAGCGCCGCTTATCTTGAGCGACTCCAAGGTGGCAGCAGAGCTAAGACAGGCTCCCTGCCTGCCCTGACCCCATGCCGCTCCCATAAGTGGCCAGCATGTCCGGCAGTGGCTCCTGGGGGTGCAGCAGGTGGCGCCACCGTGTGCTGCCCTCGCCTGTGGGTACCACCCCCGAAGCTCCCATTGGCTGCGTTCCCCGTTCCCGGACAATGGGAACTGCAGGGGGCAGTGCCTGCAGGCGAGGGCAGCACACGGAGCCCTCTGCCCCCCTCACTCTCCCAGGGGCCGCAGGCCGTAGTTCGCCCTCCCTTGATCTAGAACATAAAAATGGCCATATTGGGTCAGACCAAAGGTCCATCTAGCCCAGTATCCTGTCTTCCGACAGTGACGAATGCCAGGTGCCCCAGAGGGGCTGTTGCTGCCTGTTCTCCTTCAGTGTCACCATAAGAAGTTTAACAAAAAATGGAGATACTGTGGCTGAGTAAAATTTTTCTTACATTTAGAAATTATAGTTTAAAAAGAAATTTCCATACCTAAATAAACAACATACAAAGTCAGATGATTTAGTTAAAAATAAAAAAGTTTATTAATAATGTAAGTGACCTCCAAGAACCATACTATAAGGAACAAAAAGTCAGAGGACAGCAGCAATCAATCTAAGAATCACTTTGTCATGGAGTGTGGGGGAGTCAGGGCCCTGCACCCCGCACCTCCTGCGATTCACCGTGACTCTTAGCCAGCCACTAAAACAGAAGGTTTATTAGATGACAGGAACACAGTCCAACACAGAGCTTGTAGGTACAGACAACAGGACCCCCTCAGTCAGGTCCATCTTGCGGGGCAGGGAACTTAGACCCCAGCCCTGGGACTCCATCCGTTTCCCCAGCCAGCTTCAAACTGAAACTCTCCAGCCCCTCCTCTGGCCTTTATCTCTTTCCGGGGCCAGGAGGCCACCTGATCTCTTTGTTCTCCAATGCCTTCAGTTGGCACCTTTGCAGGGGAGGGGCCCAGGCCATCAGTTGCCAGGAGACAGGGTGTTGGCCATTCTCTGTGCAGACACCATCACACTGGCCCTCTAGGTCTTTGCAACAATCACACACCCTTATCCCACCACCTAGATACTTGAGAAATGCATAGGGGAAACTGAGGCACCCATGCAGTATTCAGAGAAAACATTAAGAACATTCCCCCTTCGTTACACACTTCTAAACCATGAGCAGAAAAAATTCCATAGTATTACTGGTTCTGCAGATTATAACACACTAGAGAGGTTCACTCTTTGTTGCATTAGAGTATGTTAAACAATTCAACCCAGCTGTTCACAGAAATTCAGGATCAGTAAGATTAGTCATGTTTTTCCTTTAAAATCCTTATTTTTGTAAAGAAGAGTTAGGTGATAAATTTTCTTAAGGGGTCTGGTTTATTATTTAACTTGCAAACCTCCTAACTAAGCGATTCTCATTTAACACTAAAATTACATAAGCCTCATTGTGTACAGTATCAATACATCTCTGGGAACAAGGTTGGTTGGTTACCTGCTGCTTTAGAGCCAGCAGAGGGAGCACAAGCCATTGGTTTTTGTGGGCTCCAAAACCAAAGTAGCTGTTTTTCTTTTCTGTATTAGGTTTTCAACACCAGCCTGGCAAATTTTCGAAACCTTAAAATGTATACCTTATGTGTGACAAAAGCCTTTCTATCATTCAGGAGTAAAACAGCTATTTGCAAAATTCCTCTTTTTAAAAATTACTTTTACTACATGGAGCAGTAAGGAAAAGTCAAGTAGACAGTACCCTACGGATCCCAATCTTTACAGAAGCAAGAAATAATAT